TTTCGTAGGACTTTCGTAGGGGTCTTGTAGGGGTTCTCGTAGGACTTTCGTAGGACTTTCGTAGGACTTTCGTAGGACTTGCGTAGGGGTTCTCGTAGGACTTTCGTAGGACTTTCGTAGGGGTTTCGTAGCGGTCTCGTAGGGGTCTCGTAGGGGTTCTCGTAGGACTTTCGTAGGGCTTTCGTAGGGGTCTCGCACGGGTTCTCGTAGGAGTTTCGACTTTCGCAAGACTCTTTCCTTGTGCTATAGGCTATAGCCTTGTTGTAGCATGTTGGTGACATGTCGCGACATCTTGCGGGTTTGCGCAACAAGCCTTGCGCGACACTCCATCGAATTCAACATGACCATTCATCATTGTAATGGGCCGGTGCATGGATCACATATGTCTTGCGACTCATATGACTCCTGGCTTGGCGCCTTCAAGCGTGTCCAGGCTTTCATTGCAGCGGCCAACATTATATGATATATGATATACGCGCTGCAGTGCAGTCAGATCATAATGCGATGTCGCATGACAAAGACGTCAGCGACGTCACGGACACGCACTGGCATTCGCCAGGTCATTTACCAGTAGAAAAAATTTAATCGTCCCAGGTAGCCATCCGACTTCGCAGAGTCACAGACGGAATGGTAACCAAGTTTGCACTCGGATGTGTGGAAATACAATGGACTGAAATACTGATCACTGATCACTGATTGATCATTGATCATTGACCACTGATTGCTGCTGCTTGAATGAGAAATGATCAGCGCAACTCATACCAGTCAGCGCGAAATGGCATGAAGCAATCCCGATACCAGGACTCAAATCTCAGTGGAGAACCTCTCGCCTAGCTGTGGCGATGATTTACAAGCTTAAGAATCGGAACAACCCACGGATAGCAAACCAGCACTTAGCGAACCCAGCATATTGCCCGTCACTACAATACGGTACAATACGTATTATGCCACTTTCAGCTTACAACTTACAACTTAATTACACGTAATCAATAAATAATATCAATATGCTTTTTTTATAAATCATAGACAATACTCAATACTCACTGTCACTAATTACTACTCACTGATTGTCACTGCGAAACTACTATGATAATATTACGTTGTCGTAAATTATCGTTACACTATCCTGAATCCTGACCAGCGCTCGTATTCCGAGCCGGACTACGCCGGCAAGCTCATGACTACAGACTACAGACTGCATGTAGGTTCCTCGCACTTCCTGGGTCTCAGAATATCGGCTTCATAATTTTGAACAACATGTGCTTGAATTTCTTGAAATCAAAAACCAATCAAAAACCAGACACCTTTGGAGTCAACTTTGGTTTCATGCCAGTTCCAAATTCTAACCAAACCAGGATTGTGCCAATTAGAACACAGCGCCTTGCGAATTCTTCATCCCCTGACTTCTCATGAGACGCGCCCTAGAGAGACAATGTGTCATCCTAAAATCCTTACACTTCAAACTTAAAACTTTAAAAGCTCAAAACCCCCAGCCCAAGCCCTGTATTAGATTTTGGCAGTTTTGGCCACCATAGACAACCCAAGCGTTAATAGCACGAACAAGCAGGGGAGCAATCAAATTGCGACTGTGCTAAGACTAGCTCAAACATCGCCGCTACATAGCGCTAGCTCCTGCGTCGGAAAATTCACCTGTTGCTCGTCCACAAAGTCGAGCACGGAGGACACATCCAGCGGCGCTGGAGACAGAAAACAATCCTGAAACAGCGTCGTGACCACATGGACGATCATGTCCTGCGCCGGCAGTCTTCAATTGTCACGCGCGCACGCGATGCAAAAACAGTTCACAATTTACATGTGCTCCACTCACACAAACGCAACCCAACAAAGCCCATGTCCAGGGTGCTCTCTGTATTCCCGGTCGGGAGATTGCTGACTGCATCCTTCAGCTCGACCCCGATGAAGTAGACCCGTGGACGTACCAGTGGGAGCCCAAACCAAGATGACCTTAGGAGCAAATTCTGAACATGTCTCTCAAGAAGTGGTCACTCCAGCGCAACAGCAGCAGTCAAGTCTCTTCAAGAGCACAGTCCTGACCACGTAGCCAGGGATTGTCTCCAACCCAACTTCATGCCCAGAAGTTAAGACGCCACGCATGAAGAAATCCATCGGCGTCTGTCCAGGGCAGCCCAACGACAAGACTGCAATCACAGCATGACAACACAATCAATCTCAAATATGAATTGTAGCACACGCGGCCATATGCAAAGCTGAGTCCAGCAAACCATCCAAGTTTTCGTAGCGCCATAACGCCCCCTAAACCACGTGATTCACCATGCGCTTTGCGCTTTGTCTGGTTCACAATTTCATTCCGAACCGATCACCAACAACTCCGCGCAATTGGCAAGGAAACACAGTACACTGATACGGATACGGATACGGATACGTAGAACTACGCCTATTGGGCTCTCTCTCTCTCTCTCTCTCTCTCTCTCTCTGTCTCCATTACTTTGCACTCTGGATTCGGATGATGGCTACTCGCGAGCAAATACGCATGACTCATGACCACTCAAACTTGCTAGTACTGCCCAATCCCAATCAACGGCACGAAGCTGCTGAGCAAGCATGCACTCGCATCATTGCAGTCTCTTGACCTAGAAGGATTAGTATAGGCTAGCTGATTTAAGGACTAACAAAATTTGACATAGAAGCTCGAGATCAAGATCTGCTTGGTTGATAAGAAATGTCATTGCGAATTCACATCAATGCGCAACTTCAAGCTCCTGCACCTGCTTGACACGCTCCAGCGCGTCTGAGAAAATCTTGCTCATCCAAGGACTTGTTGGTTGGGTTGGGTCAAGCTGCTCAGTCAGCCAAGCAATCGACTGAGCTGCCATCGATGGCAGAATTTGCCCAACACACTCATGATGCAAAGAGCGAGCAGGCTTAGATAACGAAGTCACATACTCGAATTTCTGGTCACCCTTCACCATATCTTGGCCACAGCCAACGCATTTACTCCGCCGTTTCACTGTAGCCAAGCCTACAAGCCCAACCTTGGCATTGAAGCGGGGAGCCTTTTGCTTAGGAGCTTCTGCCGGGAGCTGTGATGGTTGCGAAGGTTCCACGGGATCTGCTGCTTGGGATTCCAAATCCAACGCCTGACCGGCCAAACACCTTGCAACTGAAATCTGCTCGGGGACAGTGCTTGCAAGATGCTCAGGCGCAAGGGGGTCGGGATCATGCATGTTTCGGAAGAGCGATGCGAAGTCCTCTCCAACGGACGCTTCCCAATCAAAATCTGGCTCATATCCCTCACAATCATCGAGGTGGTCCTCTTGCGGCGCTTCCTCTTCAGGCCCCTGCTCTAGCATGTCTGCGGCTTCTGCAGCTTTTGTTGCTTTTCGAGATTTTCCGCCTTTTGCGGTCCCGGATTTCGCTTTGGCCTTGGCCCTTTTTACAGCACCTGCAGGATTCCATTGTATGCCAAATGGAAGTGACACTGCGCCCTGCGCTCTGGAGCGCACTTTTGCAGGCACAGGCTCACGCATGCCAAATCGAAATTCAGCAAGCATCTCACCTACCCGAAAATGGTTAGGTGCGGGGAAGCTGCCAACTGCCTGGTAAGCATGAGAGCTGCATTCTAGATGTAGGTCAGCTGCATCTCCTCTCAAAGACTTGGCAGCCTTCTGAGCGATAGCAAACAACGTGTCCAGCTGCCACCTGTCGTCTTCAACGTGTGGGGTCACCACATTCCTTTCGGTCCTGTGAGCAATCATCTTTCCAAAAACATGACACAGAGGCCTCTTGCTGATGCAGCCTAGCAGAAGCCACATCGGCTCTGTGCAAGGAGGCCGGGACGAAGATGGCACACCGTCTGGAGGAATCAATGAGAAGGTCATCTTAATGAGGGAGCAGGCTTGTGCGTCAATCTGCTCTATGTGATGCTGAAAATGACTTGCAATCTTCAGCACATGAGCGTACGCTGCATGATCCTTGCAAACACCCGGGTGCAATTCTTGACAGGAAGTAAACATGCGCGGCATAGGATCTGGATTTGGCTCCACCGCTGGATCGTAATCAAACGCATCCTGCATTTGCCTTGCAGCAAAGTCAGCATCAACCTCCAGAACATGTTTTGGATCCAACGCACCCACATGGCTGCATACACCCAAACCGCTTTGCCACGCCGGGTGCTGGGCAATAGCACCCAGCGAATAATCAAGCTGGGACTGGCCCAATCGCTTGCGCTGAGACCGTGACCTAGGACGGTAGCGGTATTAGCAGAAGTATCTTGCTAGTAGATCCATGGCATTTACATACATCATACATCTGACGCACGACTGATCCAAATGGGTGCTGGCAAGTGTCAAATTGTTCTGACCTTCGCCATGGTGACCAGCAGAACTCAAAGCAGAACTAGAACCAGCGTCCGATGCTTTCGCACTGGCCAGAGTCTGCTGGCTTTCAGACCTTTTGAGAGCACTCTGCGCAGCAGCCTTCTGAACATACTGGTCACGGAGCATTGTGGGGAGGTACTTCCACTCAGCCATAATTTGCTTGTGTAAGGACTTCCCCTCTTCAGATGCAACACGCATTCCACGGCCACGTGCTTTCATCTGTTCTTGGAGATACACATTCACAGGACTGACTGCCCTTGACCTCTTCACAGCTTTGCAATCATTGACCATGCCAGCTGCTGACCTGAGCTTACCCCCTGAAAGTCCATACCCCTAACCTCTGGGTTGGGATCTGCACGCTGCCTACTGATTCTCAACACTTCTGGAATAAAGCAACCTAGGTGCGACAGAGATGTTCTTCGGGAAGCTGCCGCTGTCTTCGCACGAACACGAGTCATAGTGCGGGCCGGCAGACTCCGCTTTACCACCCTATTGGAAAGCAACCTCCCCAAACGTATTTTGCTCTTGCCAAAGATTTCTTGCTCAACATAACCTTTCAGACGTGCATGCTCCAACCGCGTGCTGGTGACATATGTGTGCAGCTGCAACGCCTTGACTGATTTCCCGGATCTGTGCGCTAGTGCAGACTCTTGCGTGGTTGCATGGAGCTTCTCAACATTCACGGATGATGCGGGCATGTGCAGCAAGGCGTCCTTCAGAAGGCTCACCAATTGTTGGACGCCCTCGGCGCTGTCACCATTCCTCGACACACCCAAGGCCACCTTGCAACGGGCACACTGTATTTTCATTATTTATTAATAGCCAACTACTATATTGTTATATTAATATTTTAATTCTAATGCAGGTCCCTTTGGAAAAAATCAGACATCAGGCCTGCACAAAGGGATCACCAACGCAACACATTGGCATCTTTGCCAAATTTTGTAGGTATTGGATAGCACTCTCGAGAGTCATTATGCCCACCCCCAGGAGTTGAGTCTTGTACTTGCGTGACGGAAGCCACATACGTCTCCACACGTCACACATCGCGGGAAACACATGCGGGAGGACATCTCCAAAAGTCACCCTGCAGGCTTGGAACAGTTCGTGATCTGGGGGAGCAGTCAGGAGTGTAGTGAATTCCCTGACAGTCTCCAAGGCTTTCTGGCCGTTGAATATACTCCAATTCATGTTCCTCAGCTCATGTTCAGTCACCTGGCACGTGCTAAAGGGTAGTTGCAACGAGCGGGACTTGAACTGAAGTCGCTGGCGGCAACTCTCCACTTGCGAAATGAAGTCCATCAACGCAGCCAATGGCCAAGAAACGAAGAGTGATTTCCCAAGATCGGCCTAGCATCACACCATGCCACAATGCCAAGATCTCTACTCAGGACCCAGCATCTTGTGAATGCATAAATCAAAGATCTGTTTATGTGAAGGTAATTGCAAACCAAGCGACCCGGATGCTCTCGCCGCAAACAAATGCAACTGTTTTGCTCATCCTGACCTCCTGCTTTACCGCATACGACATGTCAGGGGAATCTTCATCCTGGCCAAGAAGATCATCTGCCCTACCAGCGAGGCCCTTGTTGCAACATCCCTTGATGAGAAAAGCCAAAAAGTTGTGAATGAAAACTCCACGAGTGCAGAAGTTTTGAACTGCACCCCAGCCCTTCCAGCGATATAGCAGTGGCACCTGTGGGAATTTTGCAAACAGTAACCTCAACGCCTCCTGCGTGCGTTCAACGCACACTTGCTGCGAGGTGCAACAGCCAGCGCACCAATGCACCCACCTGCATGAATGGCCCTGGCCAACCTCATCGTCCCAGGAAGAATTGAACATGCTGAGAATCAGCTGTTTTTCCTCCGCTTGCAAATCATGGCCCAGTATATCTAGGAGGACCTGATGCCGTTCTTGCATTGCTGCAATTGAGTCAGGCAGGTTCGCAACAACTCGCCTCTCCACAGCGTATGCAAGTTTGTCCAAACCCTCCTGAAACAAGCTCTGAAACTTTGTTGCTCTCATTGCCCGGGTCATTCGCACCATTGCTGAACAAAGATTCGGAATGCTTAACAATCCGGGCTTCAGCGCTAAAGCCGCTTGGTGATGCAAGCAGTTCAACTCTGTTTGTAGAGTGGTCTGCGCATTTGCCTCACCCGCCAACCGACCTTCGCGCCAACCACTATGCTCAGCTGCCTGGACGCAATGGTTTGCGGGTAGCGCATCACCACCTGGGTCAAGGTGATCGCAGTCCCCCTACTGATGCTAGTGCCGCATGTCGCATGCCCTTTCGTGGTTGACACTGGCGTCGAAAAGCTGAGGTCTCAGCAGTGCACAATCAGCTTCAGCGGAATCTCTGCAAATTTGTTCCATAAATCATCGCCTCCAAATTGGGGAGCACAGCCTACAGACGAAAACAAACTCCACCGCCGAAGTCTGGAGAGAATCGTCCAGGCATTAGCTCGCGGCAACAGTTGGCAAGGCGCATGTATTTGGGCGGAAGTTCCGCAACCGTCCTCCTCACTCTTACGCCTAAGAATCAAGTTCTGCAGCATGCCTAGCAACGATTGAACACGTTTCATTCCCTTGACCTGGGTTACTCCATTGACCACGCCACTGCTCGCATCAATGTTGCGCTTCTGCGAGGGATTATTGATCCAAACGTTGGTGTCATCGGAAACAACAGTCACCTCGGATGAGATGGCTTCATGCTAGAATGCACGCATGCAAACTTCAACTAAACTACTTTGATGGGCCCAGTTTGTGGTTGGATACTACTCATGTTCAAGATATTTAGATAATTAATAATTACGTTACAGGCTGCGTAATGGTCTCTTCTGAAAAGTGATCGCAACATCACACTCATCGCGATGCCAAGAAACGATTGCATGTTTGCATTCCTCTGCAGACACGAACTTCTTCAAGGCGTTACCCGTTGCTGAAATGTGACTGTGGATCCCAATATGTTCTTGTCTGCTCATTGACTGATGGGCCTCGCTCGCGAAATCGTAGCCGCCAAGAACCCCTGCTTGATTCCTGAATAACACCAAGTTCTGGCTGACATGAAGACCTCCTCGAACAGCGGCCTTCTGAAAATCCCCGAAAACGCTCCTCACAAGACTTAACTTGTCATCATCGCGCACCTCAGATAGCGCCTTCAATTGGTTCACCTGGCGTCCGTACAACCCCAACTGCACGAAAGCACCGTGAGTGGCACCACTTGAGCGAACGGAAGTCTTCGCGTCCTCAGGCATCACTAGTTTACTGTTCACCGTTTAGTAGTTTACTGTTTACTGCTTTACTGCTGACGCAAGGACTAAGTGAACTGCTTGGTGAAACAAATCTGAAGCTTTGCTACATATATTCAAAACGAGTCTCCATCTGAGGCGTGGCCTTCTGCTCATCTGTTTTCTTGCCCTTCTGCTTTTTCATGAAAAGCGATGCAAACATGGCCATTGCTGGTGCTGAGCTAACACCTGTCCCTTCCACAAAAGTCAGTGGAGCTGAGAACTTGGACTTTCATTGAGTCAATCGAAATAACATGGACGACATATAAATTTTCAGGTTTCCATTGGCACCACACATCGCGAGCAGACAAGCTTGCCGGACAGATTTCTTGAAAGCATGAGCAAGTCACAGCGTGTTGGCCCCTCCATAACCCTGACCCCAAGCATTACAAGTCCTGCCTGGTACTTGGCGTCAGGAGGGCAATCGGCTGATTTGCAAAGACATCCAGCCACATTTTCGAGAATATAGAACCTGGCAGCAGGTTCGTTACAACCCAATCTTTTCTATTCTCACACGTTGCCTCGGGCGTCTGCGGCGGATGTGCCGCGCGGCTTCGAGGAACGGCACGACTTTGAAGGCCTCAGGAAATTCAAACACATGTTATATGGGAATGATTCCGCCGAATGCATCAACTGAATGTGCAAATACTGTTGCGTAAGTTACGCCCAAGTTGCGTGGGGGCCGGTCTCTGAAAACATGGACTCGATAGACTCATGGCTGAAGCGGATCGGGCTGGCCTTTTGCAAGACATCCGAGTACAACAACTTCTATACGCGCAATGCTTCCCCAGGCCTGGCTAAAGAGTTTACAGGTAAAACCTGCGATGTACAAATCTTCCTTGACAAAGTCCTGGCCAAACTGCGGCTGAATCAAAGGTTTCTAGCATGGCTGCATGACACACAGAGTTGAAGCTGATTGCTGTCGAGAGTCCGTGTGGACCACAGGAGGAAGAGGCTTTTTCCCCATCTCCCCCAGCCTGAAGCATGTTCACACAAAGCAATGAATCTTACTGGTGGACGGGGGATCGGGTGCGTGGATCAATAACAACTCGACACATCTCACCTCATCGAAGAAATGTCATTGAAGCAGATCTTCGGGCACGTGTTCTGTAGCAGCCACTTCCGCGTGGGCGCCTGCAGACTTTTTACGCGACAACGTAGGGCAAACTATGTGTGGGAAATGCATCAACATGATAGTCCCCCATCACGGGCTGCACTTTTTGGATGCTGCCAAAAGACGTGCTTCTCGGCAGCCGCAATCTCCTCAAAGTTTTTCTCACCAAGAATAGCCTTGATGGCAATCGTTGGCGCACCGCTTCCAGAGCACGCCGTCGTCAAGACCTGAAAGATGGACATGTGTGTTTGGTTGTGGATGTGCCCCGGAAGAGTAGTTTAAATCAGTGAATCAATAGTAGTTAGTTACTAGTTACCAGTGTGTGCAAGAATTCGTTCAATGCAAGGCACCAGTGGATCATCTACAGGCTGGCGAAACAGGTCTGTCGGCAGACCCATCGAGGCACACTCAAGATCCAGCCACTGAAAAGCCCGTGGGGTTGGCACCGTATTGTGCGAGGACGAAGAGGCTGATCTGGATCGGGACCTATTGTCAAGGGTTTAGGGTTTGGGGTTTAGGGTTTGGGGTTTGGGGTTGAGGCTGAGGGTTTAGCCCGTGTTGATGCTCACCATCAAACACATGATGCAGCTGATGCGCATTCATGATACCCGGATTCTAATAACCCTGCCTGCTGCGACTGCGTCTCTCGTCCTCCACGTCTTGCGGGGTCAGCCCGCAATAAAGTGACATGAACGCCATGATCCGCCAAGGAGCGAATCCCAGCTTCCCCTTGCTGAAGATGCTGCAAGGATCGCAGACGTCATCATCACCATCATCAGCATCATCATCATTGCTATCTCAGAAGACCCCTAACCTCATCGGAAAGAACTTCGGGACTCCACGAATTGGGTTACCCATACTTAAGTTTAAGTGGGACTAATATACCCCAGAAATCTAATCCCTAAACCCAAGACCCTGCTCAACTAGGGACCCTGGCTCCTAATCTATAACCCCAAATGCCTACAGTTTAGCAACAACTACTCCCTAGTTGGTGATAATATTGACTTTCAAATCCCCTCCCACTACAAACAATGACATTTTTCCACCCTCTTACGCCACCTCTTTTGCTATCTCCTACAACACCTACATCTTACCGCCCCTCTACGCCACAACTTTTGCCACCCTGGAATTCCATGGTTTGAAGACCTAGATCTTGCCGCCCCTCCACGCCACCACTTTTGCCACCCCAGAATTCCATGTTTTGATAGGTTTTGGACCAGAAGTTAAGATTGTAGTGTTAACATTACTACGGCCGCTGCAAGGTATATATAGTAATTATTAGGGTTTCCCCAATATAGTAACTCAAATCAAGTTCCTTAACAGCAACCCAGAAGGTTCGGTGCTTCCCCCAATCCGGGATGAGCGTCAACGTGAGCTGTGTGAACGCCCTGAGCCCGGAGGGCATTTTGCAATAGGTGGTGATGCGAGACTCGGGCCGAACCATAGGCACTGCGATCTGGAAGGTTGAAAAAAGACCATCGCATCTACTCCCCTGTGGCCGTTGGAGAGGACAACCCCCGAAAGGTCTGCAAGCTCAACCAAGTTTTCAATTGGAGGAATGTACTGCACGTCTGCTTGTGGCAACGCTCCAAAGCAGATCCTCGTCGACCTGAAGGAACTATGCATTAAGCAGTAAGTTCGCCTGATGTTTGCCCAACAGCCCAACAAGGGCTGACGACCAGGAACCGCTTCGGCTGAGATTGGACCAATGGCCTTTTGTTCGCTGGGAATGAAGGAATGGAAAAAGAAAATGGAAACTACTAATAACGGGTTATATAGGGACTGCTATCCCCAAACTCTAAACCCCAAACCCTATAATGGGTTACGTAGGGACTACTATACGGATCCATTCCTTCATTCCTAGCTAAACCATAGACCCTGAACCCTAAACCCAAAACCCTAAACCCTAAACCTCATTCCTAGCTAATGAAGGGCCAGACAAAGGAGACCCAGAGTCGCTGTGGCAGGCTTAGAATTCTTCCTCGAGCGTTGGAAAGGTTTAGAGTTTCGGGGCTTAGGGTTTAGGATTTAGGGGTTTAGGGTTTAGGTGCTTAGGGTTTAGGATTTGGGGGATTAGGGTTTAGGGTTTAGGTGCTTAGGGTTTAGGGTTAAGGGGATTAGGGTTTAGGATTTAGGGGAGTAGGGTTGAGGGCTTGGGGTTTAGGGTCTGGGATGCAAGGTTGAAGGCTCGGTTGCAGGGTTGGATCTGCGATGTAGGTCGGCCAAAACTCAGCAACAAGATTGGATTTTTCTTGCTTCCGAAACTATGAAAGCCAGCCAATCCTAATATAACCCTTCATACTGAGCCTGTGCCCAACTCACTGAACAACAATCACCCAGAGGAAATAAACAAAACCATACACCGTAAACTCTACCCTAAACTCTAAACCCTAAACCCTAAACCCTGATCCCGCCCCTAAAGCGCTGAACCCCAAAAAACGTTGGGTCCCTGGACGTGCCGCAAGTCTCAAGGCTGCGGTCAGGGTTTAGGGTTTAGGGGTTTAGGGGCTTAGGGTTTAGGGTTTAGGGTTTAGTGCATGACTCTAGAAACCTTGTACCTGGGAATTATGGTATTCAGCTATACTAAGGTCATGGCGAAGTTTGAGCGCCAACAGCATGACAGCCATTGCACCTATTATCCCTACATACTCGATGTCAAGCAGGCACCTCTATCCTAGAATCCAGCCATGATCATTGCTTCGGAACCATATATTAAGATCATATCTATCGAAAACTGCGATTCCCCAAGAACCCTGCGGCTTGCATACCCAAACCCTAAGCCCCAAATCCTGAAGCGCCGAACCTTATGCCCTAAACTGTGAAACCCCAAATCCTGAAGCCAGAGTCCCAAAACCGCTTGTGTAGCCCTAGATCCCTGAACCCCAAATTCTTTAATCCCTGAACCCCAAACCCTTTAATCATAATCCAAACCCTAAACCCTGCCCCAACCCTGCAGCTCAGGCGCAGGTCTCATAGCTGTAGTACCCTGACATGTTGAGGAGGCTCTGGCTGGGGTTGCGCGGACGTTCCAGGCAGTAAGGCCTCAGGGCTCAGGGTTTACTGGCGTTCGGGGTTTTAAGGTTCAGGGTTCAGGGTTTAGGGTTTAGGGTTTGGGGTTTAGGGGTAAGGCCTCGGGGCTTAGGGTTTAGGGTTAACGACTAAGGCTTGGGGGTTGGGCTTCAACGTTTCTGGCTTGAGGTTCAAGATTAGGGGCTTATGGTTTGGAGTACCCTGAACCGTGAACCCTATGTAACGCCCCTTTGAGCAGCCTGAACTACTGGGGCTTGAGGGTTCGGCTTGTGGGGCTTGCTAACTGGCTGGACATCGATTCTACAACAATAGTGCATGTTGCATATAATATACTGAAATAGACTACAATATACTATAATATACTAAAAATATACTATAAAAGACTATCATATACTATAATATATCAAAATTTATATCATATCCTATAATATCCTATAATATCCTATAATATTGAAATACTGTATACTATACTATATATATTCTAGTATTTAGGGACATGTGTTTGAGGGTTCAGAATTTGGGGTTTCAGGGTTAGGTATGACGGCTCCGGGATTTGGATGTAAGTTGAAATTGTCGGGCGTAAGTCCTTTGCTACGGGTTTGGCTTTAAACTTTGTCAACCATGAGACCACGCTCAACTTTAAACCAAGTAGGGGCAGAAGAATCGGGGCTTATCGGCAAGGACCAGAGGTAATTCAGGTCTCTAGCCTCTTCGTTTTAGAGTTCGGCCTAGTGGTCCTAAAAAGGAAGCACTACAACCTGGACCCTAACACCCCAAAGCACAAAAATGCACGGTTTGCAGGCATGTATGAAACAACGCCTTGTATGATCAACGAATGAAGTATCGCAAACTAGGAGAGCCCCACAAAAGAGCCGCCATGTGGAAATTCTTCGCACCCCAAAATACACTGCCTGGTGTGTAAACTTTCGGTCCCAGACCCATAAAGCCGAAAAGCGATACGAGAACATCTCAATAACGCAACAGCTTCCATTCTTGATTCCCAGCTAACAACCAGTACTGGTGGCTGTTGAAGAACTTAATTTTAGTTGCTATATTGGGAAGACCAGATTATTGATTGGTATATATACCAAGTATGGTAAACCCTAGACCCTAAACCCCGGACCCTAAACCCCAAACCCTAAACCCTATATTTCCGTAATTTTAATTCTTTAACAGCGACCCAAAGGAAGCCGGGGAGCGAGATGTCACTTCCTGGGGTTCCACCTGCAGCCTCGCACTTCTGCTCATTCTCAGGACACAACTCCTGAGCTGGTTTAAGGTTTAGGGTTTTTGGGTTTTTGGATTTGGGTTTTGGGGTTTAGGGTTTAAGGCTTGGGGTTTAGGGTTGAACTGGAACAGGGTTCCGGGTATAGGGCTCTCAAAACAAAACTCCTGAGCTGGAACGGGGTTCTATCACTGGATGTTGAGGTTAGGGCTAAAAGTTTAAGGTTTAGGGTATAGGGTTGGGGCTAAGGGCTCAGGGTTTGGGCCTAGGGTTTAAGGTTACGGGCGGCCCTTTGAACAATACTGTTCTGGCAGCTGCAAAAGCTTGACACCAAGGTTCCTGGGTTCAGGGTTTGGGGGATCAGGGTCTACCTGTAACTTCGAGAACCTCAGCGTACAAAAATGAAGAGGTGTTGTTGTTGACCAAGATGGACCTAACTGAGTTAGGTCCTAAACCCTAAAAGGAGTAGGTTTGGGTGGTT